AGCGGCGGGATGCTGGCCCTGGTACCGGCTACAGGAGCTGGCAGCCACACTCCGGATCCCAGTCCTGCCAGTGACACACTACAGCTTCCTCAAAGTCAAACCATTTCCCCGCGGCGTTTTAGCTTCTGCCACCAAGCAGGTTTTTCTGTCTGCGCTCCTCTGCCCAGCTATTGCGCTGCCCCATCCTTTCAAATGGCTTTGAGCACCCAGGGGTAAATGGTGCGATCAAGTGTGAACATTTAGGGCTGTCTTTAAAAAGCCTGAAACCATTTCTGATGCAAGCAAATGCACCTTCCTTGAAGGAGTAAGTGAAACGTCCGGCTGCATCAACAGTAACAAAAACACCCAGGCAAAACCTTCAATTTAATCTAGTTAATGCCTGCTGGTTGGGCTTGAACTCGCTTGCTGCATCATGTTAATATTCCTCCCCCTTTGTTCTCTCTTTGTAAAGAAATACCGGAATGAATTCAACACCAACGTTGCCATGGCCGAGATATACAAATACGCCAAGAGATACCGCTCCCAGGTAAGTGGGTGCAGCTTGCCCCAGCCCCAGCGTACCTGTGGAGGGAATAACAAGCAGCATTTTGTAACCACGCGGTCAGACGCCCACATCCAGTCCCACAGAAAAGGGATTATCATTTTTCACATAATCCCACGCACAAATGTAATGTATGCATACACAGATGCACCTGCTCTCCCATCCCTTGGTGAATGACTCCTTGGAAGAGAGGGCAGCTATTCCTGGCTCGTTTATACAGGCTTTGGCTGGGCTGGACCGAAGCAGGGCTGCCCAATTTGTAGCCTTCCAGCCGCTTTCAGGAAGGCAGAGCACACTGATACAGTCCACAGACAAAAAAACTTCCCATCAGCGCCCGAGACACTGGCCCTGGCTGGCTCCTGACCTCTGCACCCCGAGATTTATTACTGAGATGGTTTTTGGGTTTCATTCCCTTCCTCTCCCACCATCCCAAGGGTGGCAGGACATGTGAGCATAGGGACTGTGGGGCACGGGGTCTCTCCCCATAGGGGGTCCACCTGGCATTCGGGCTCAGCAGGGCTGGTGGGGGGAGCTGAGGAATCCATCCTGCACCCCCTTAGCCACCCATCCTCCCGTGTTCCCCGCAGATCGTAGCTGCCCTGGACGCCAACCCCACCACGAAGCGCACACAGCTCCAGCACAAGTTCGAGCAGGTGATTGCGCTGATGGAGGACAACATCTACGAGTGCTGCAGCGAAGCCTAGGCCCACCGCAGCCCTGGAAGTGGCCTTCTCCGCAGTGCAGCGCCATAGGGACCCTGCCTTCAGCCATAGGTCACTTCTGCCAGGGCCATTCTCAAACCAGGCTGGTGATGGGGTGGGCCTGGCCTGCAGCTGAAGGGCTCCCTCACCTAACAAGAAGCCACGAGACGCTTTTCTGAGCAGCAAAAGAACCCTCTCGGGACCCATAATTTATTTGCTGTGGCCATCCAGAAATGGAGCAGTGTCGCTTGTGGCAAGCTCAGTTCACCACTTCCTCCTGACCAGCACCCGAGCGGTCCGCGGCTCCCTGCATCCCTGGTTGTGGTCCCTCAGGGCAAGCAGTGGGGCTGCAGAAGCTGCGCCGAGAGCTGCCAGCAGAAGGGCAGCCTCAGAGAGTCACAAGTGGGGACAGCAAAGGCCATCAGAGCAACGCCTGAGCTCCCTTCCACACCATCCCTCTGACGCCCTTGTTTTTCCAACACCAGGGACTCTCACCAGCTGTTCACTACCTGCTGCATTCTGTGTATTTTTGTGCCTTTTAATTTTTGTACTGTATGTGTAAACATAACCACTCCTCCCTCTGAGAGCTGGGCACCACGGGGAGCTTGGGGTTGAGGCAGAGCAGTGGCTTCCCTTCTAAGGCATAGCAAGAGCACTTTATCCCGAGAGGAGCTGAGCCACAGGGAGTGTTACGTGCCAGGGTGGGAAGGGCTGTTCCTATGTCTGTGTTGCAGTGGGGAGGCAGCTGCCCACACCGTCCAGCCATGGTCACGGGCATGGCTTCTGCCTAAAGACCAGTGCAGTGGGTGAGGGGAAGGACCTGGGCATCACACCCAGGTATCCTGACCATGCACACATCTGTGGGCTGCCCCAGCTTGGCCCTGATGCTGCTCATGCTGACTCCTGCTGATGGCCCCTCTGACAGCGGGCACTCGAGCCATGTGCAGGGCAGAACACCAGGCAGCATTTTCCCTCCTTCCACCCCGCACGCTCCAGCATGTCCCTGCAACCACCACCCAAAACAAGGTCAATGCTACAGAGGTGTCTTCCTAAAGCAGCTTGTTCTGCTTGTTGCAGCCCCAGCTGCCATACCCAGCTGCCATGTTTGTCACCCGAGAGAGCCCAGTTTTGCTGTGTCCAGTCTTATTTCAGCCCATAAAGGCAAAGGGCCTGGACCCCCATACCCCCGGTAGCAGCACGCTCTTGCAGAGCGGCTCCAGCACCCAAGCTGCAAAGGTAGAAGTGTCCCATTGTGCTCAGCAAGCGGGGTCCCACTGCACAGAGCTCGGCCGAGACCCAGAAACATCACTGCCACCCCACGACACCCACACTGGGGAAACCCTGTCCCAGCCAGGGGGGAGCCGCGGCCGCTCGGGGCCCCTCCAGGATCACAGAGGTCCCACTGCAGAGGCTGAAGTGCAGCGAACACCACGAGCTTGAAGCCAGCATTTGCGTGCAGGCAAAGGCAACCTGCCTGTGAAAGCTAAACCCAGCCGCAGTGTTTTCAAACTGTCAAATGGGAAAGAAAGGAAAAAGAGGAAAGAAGAGTTACTACCTCACTCCAGGCAGGTCAGTCTAAGGTGAGCCTCTGTTGCTCATCCAGCTGGCAAGGATGCAACCTGGCATTGGATGACTTTGGTCCACCACAGCTCCTCGTGGGTGACTCACTGCCATGGACGGGTGCCCTCCATCCCATTGGTTCCTGGAGTGCCACGTTCATCAAATTGGGACATCGGAATTGTGTATCTGTATATAGATATCTATTTTAAAATGAACTGCAGACTTTATCCAGTATGTTTAAAGCAGGGGTGGGGGTAGGGAGGGGAGGGAGAGGGTAAGAACAGAGGTTTTTGGTTGTTTTTTTTAAAGAGAACTACAGAAAAAGTACATACACTGTGGAGGTTTCAACATCTTTGCTGAGGATGTGGCTTCAGAATAGAAACTCTAAGAAATGTAGCTGGGCTACATTTTATTTTGAAAGTTATTTCTCAAATTCTTGACTTTTTTTTTTTCTTTTAGAAACTGTGAATAGCTGCCAGAGATGTAAGCAGGCCCAGCACAGGGAAGGCAAGGGCAGAAGGACTGAGGTAGCAGAGCACGTTGAGCTGGTCTGGAGGTGGGAGAGGGCCATGGGTCTATAGCCCCATGTTGTTACAAGGAAAGGATGCAGGTGAGCTGATAGCAAGTGTAGTTTGCCTCCAGATGACTTGACTGGGCCATGTATCAGGGCCTATTGCTTTATTATTTAATTTTTTCCAAAGAAGAAGAAGAAGAAAAAAGCAGTTGCTACAACCATTTTTAAAGGAACAACTTTAACAGAGCAGAAGCTTGAGGGTTTGTAGTGTTGCCTTGAACCCTGAGCCCGTTGTAACATGTTTTTAAACTTTGGCACGTGTCGTGGGTGTAGTGCCCTTACCTGCTGTGTAGTGGAAGTGGCAGACTCTTGGAAAAGCCTATCTTTGTAATAAAACAAGGTGCTCAACCGGCGCAGCGCAGTTCTTGCTCCTATGAGGCACATGGTGCTCAGGGTTGAGCCCAGGTGATGGCCACCTCATGTCCGTACGAGATGGGCTTTGCCCCTCAAGTCTGCAGAGCCCTGGTTTCCCCTGCAGAGCCCACTGCAGCCACCACCGCTCCCACCACCCCATGCCACGGCTCCCACCAGGACAGGGCCTGGTGCAGGAGGGGGAAGGTCCCAGGAGGACACAGCCACCAACCGTGCTGTGCTGTGCACCCAGGTCCAGCAGCACCACAGCGGTGCCCATCAGCACCCGTACCTCAGCCAGGTGCCATCCCACTGGACAGAGACTCCTCCCAGCACCAGCTTTGCACCACTGCCACTATCACACCAGCCATGGCCGTAGGTCTTAATAACCATGGCATTGCTAAATCCTCTCCCATCCACCTCCCCCAGTAAAAACTGCTCTTCCCAGGCACCCAAGGGATTTTCTTTTCCCTGCTATAAAGTCAATTCTCACTAAAGCTAAATCCAGCCATTAAATTATTTGGCTTCTCTCAGAGCCTGGTGTTTATAGCGAGTGCCCAGTCAAGGAACACAGCTCCTGCCTGGCTGTTCAGGACACCTCCACGTGCGCAAGCCATGGTTTGTGCATGAACCGCAATGGAAGGGGCAGGTGGGCGCTGCAGTGATCACTGCAGCATCCCCTGCCTCCAGCCCTTGGGAGGACAGGGCTTTCAGCTCCATTAAAGATGGATCAGCATCGCCAAGGCTGAAGTTTAAAGAGAAGTTAGTTTGCTCAGCTCTTGCTTAAGCCCCAAAGCAAGGCCAGGAGCCTTGGAGGGCATTGGCAAGGCCAGCTGAAGATTAGCAAAATCCTCTTTAGGAAGAGAGTTTTACTTCCACTTATTTCTCCTGCCCAGGAGGACTGTAACCCTGTGCATTACCAGACTGACCTTCAGAAGAGCTCTGTTCAGGGCAGAGCAAGAGAAATTCAGGCATTTGAAGCTATTAAATGAAAGCGCTCATATGTTGACCCACAGGAGCTAAGCAAGACAGGTTTAGAGGTGGGAACTGTGCCACAGATAAACAACAAGAGCACAAGCCATGCTGCAGCCTACAGCAAACACCCCAAACTCCTTTTTTTGAGCCTTAAAACACTTCTACCTTCCTCTTACCATGGCTCGAGCACAGGCAGTTGCTTCCAGCGCTGGGGACCCTTGCCTGTGGCACGCAGCCGGCCCTCCTGCCCCGGCACTGCTGTAATCCCAGCTCAGCCAGGCATTAGCACAAGGGCAGCCAGGAGGGCAGGGCCTGGACACTGGCCCCACACCAGGGCTGCAGGCACTGGGGCACCAACACCAGCTGTGAGCACAACAGGCCCACACTGGCAGGGCTGGCCCAGCCCAAGCATCACAGTGCTCAGGGTGCTGATGTGCTGTGTCCGTGAGTCCCAGGGCCCCTGCCCAGGCCATTGCCCCACACTACAGCTCACGACCTGCAGCCCTCAAAGCCTGGCACCCCTGGCACTGCGGCACGCAGGTGGGGACATGCAGGGACAGATGGGGCACCTCCCCTGGGAGCGGGCATGGCAGGCTGGCAGTCTGCAGCACCGGCTCACCCTCACACCACACAGGATGAGGCCAGGGCTTGGGAGTTTGGCACTGGGAGAGGGGAGCACAGGGGCAGGGCCCCCCGAGCAGGGCAGCTGTCACACCGTTCTGTGAGGAGAGTGAAAAACCTTTATTAACAGGAGGTAAACACAGACTTAAAACCTGTCTTGCAGAATAAAACCGACCCAGAGTGAGGGGTGGGCACATCAGAAGCAGGGCTGGGCTCCCATGAGGAGGGGGCTGCCCGTGACCCCCTACATAGCCTTCCTGCCCGCCGTGGGGGGGGCTGCCTTCTGCAGCCCAGCCTTCCCCTGACCAGCTCCTGGGGCCACCTGAGGCTTCCCCACCTTCCTCTGACCCCCCTTCGCCTTGCCTTGACTCCCCTGACCAGCTCCTGCAGGCACCTGGGGCTTCCCTGCCTTGCTCTGACCCCCCTTCGCCTTGCCTTGACCCTCCTTTGCCTCGGGGACATCTTGCTGTGCCCTCTTGGGTGCCTTTGCTTTGCTTGTTCCCGTTGCAACCTTTCGGGGTCTCTTTGCCCCAGCACCAACAGGGCCATTGCCATCGTCCCCTCCCACATCCTCAGCAGCCAGAGCTGTGGGAGGCCTTGAACGCCCTTTGCCAGGGGCTCGGGGGTGGCTGGCAGCTCGGGGCGGCTTTGCTCCATCGCTCTTGGGCTTCGCTCCACCGTTCTTGGGCTTCGCTCCTGCTGGCATCCGGGCCTGGAGAGGAGAGAGCAGCTCAGGCTGCTGCCCACACCAACCCTGGCCACCCCACGAGCCCCACTCACCTCTGCGGTCTTTGCCTTCACCTTCTGTTTCACTGCTGCCAGCTGCTTCTTCACAGTGTCTGTGGGAGAAGGGGAGGTGGATAAGCCCAAGCAGGGGCCTCTCCACAGGGCCAGGGCAGCCCAGGGTGGCTCAATGCACCCCCAGCCCTTTACCTTGCTGCTGTGCACCCACCACAGGGGCACATGGGGGCTTGGTGGTCCTTTTCCATCCTGGCTTCGGGTCCTGCCCTTTGTCAGGATCTGCCTGGCCCGGTGGCTGCTTGTTATGCAGCTTCTTGGAGGCTAACTGGGGGTGAGAGAGGTGGCAGCAGGGCTGGGCAATACCTCAGACCCCAGCCCCGCTGCTTTGGGGCCGGCAGCCCCTGCTCACCTTGAAGCGGCCGGTAGCCCCTGTGGCTGTGGAGTTGTGGGGCCGCACCAGGTCCCCGCGGCTCAGCCCCTTGCTCAGGGCCTGCTTCAGCAGGTACTTGAGACGGATGGGGTCCACGGTGGGGTACTTGGTCAGGATGAACCGCTTGATGGCAGCCACAGAGGTACCCTTCCTCTGGTCCTGGGCTCGCAGCGCCTCGATGACCATGTGCAGGGTAGGGGGATGTGGGCGATGAGAGCCTGGGGACAGCAGGCCCCGGATCTGGGCTGTGCCAGTGGCTTTGGCTGCTGGGAGAGATGAGAGGCAGCACTTGGGACCTGGGCTCAGCCCCAAGGAGAGCAAAGCCTCCAGAAGCCGAGCAGCCACAACCCTGCTCATCCCTGCAGCCCCACAGAGACCATGGAACCTGAGCATTACCCCAGCCCCACAGCAGCCATAGCTCCACCAGGACCCACAGCACCAACAAACCCCTTACCCATTTGAGGCTCCATACAGCACACACACCCAAGCACACCAGCCTAAAGCCTCAAACCCAGACAACTCCTACCCTGCTCACAAGCCTAGCTCACTTCCAGCTAATTTATCTGATTAGCGCCCTAACTGCAGGGGCTGTTTCACAGCTGATAATTAATTGCTCTGATTGCCACCCAGGTGGGAGCAGGTGGTTGGGAAGTCAATGCCCTTTGCCAAAGCTTTGTGAGGGGCTGGAGGGAGAAGAGGCACATTGGGAGGAGTTTGGGTAGGGTAAGGGTGGGGTGCGGGCCCTGAGCACACAGGGGAGAGCAGCTCCCTGCTGCTCGGCCAGATGCTGGGATCGTGGGTTGCTGATGGTACTCGCCGTGGGGTAGATGGGGGCCGGCAGCACAGGACCAGTTCCTGGAGCACTGGTGTGACGTGCCAGCTCCCTTCACGGTCCTACCGGGAAGCAGGGGCTGCGCTGCCAGGGCAGCCTGATAATGGGGGGAAAACGATCCCACAGGCGGGGAAAATGGAGACCTGCGTTGTTGGCTGGTGGAGGCAGGAGGAGTGACCCTCCCACAGCAGCCCCCAGGATGTGAGCAGGACCCCCCCCATCAGCTGTGCTCGATGGAGAGCGCTCCTGGCCCCGCACATGGGGGCAGCCCCCTCTGTGTCCCCACTATGCCCTCTCTGCACCTGCTTCTGGCACAGCAACCACCCCACACCGGTGACCCATCGTCCCATGGGCCCGATGGGAGCTAAACCCTCAGCGCTGGTGTGCCACGGCCATCTTAAAATAGGTCCTCCTGTGACCCCATGGACACTTTCCCCTGTTCCAGTGGGCCAGAGCATTTGTGCTGCTTCTGTTCTGCCTGTGCTCATGGGGCGAGCCTGTCACTGACCACTCTGATGCGGGAACAGCATGAATGTCCTCACCCTGGGGACCGCTGAGTCTCTGCACGGCATCGGCCCCTTCCTCTGTACCGGAGTCACGAGGCTCTCCTGCGCGCCCTGGGATTATGTGACAGCAGGGCTGGTTCCCAGCCCGACTCAGCAGACACATTACTGCACTGATGTACGTGCAAAGCACTGCCCAGAAAGACCTCAGTCAAGGTCTGTGCCCAGCTGTGAGCCTGGAGACAGGTCCTGGCAGGGCGATGGGGAGCCAGCAGCAGCCAGGGCTGGACCAAGTTGCTGGGAGAGGTGCCCAGAGCCTCCATGCCCAGCTCCTCCTGGACCAGCACCGCCAGCCCATTCCCTGTTCCATTTCCAGTCCATGTCTGAATTCCCCATGAAGGGGCTGGGGAGACACTGGAGAGCTGCAGGGGCTGGCACTGCACAGGGTTGGGTGCATCTCCTCCTGGATCTGGCCATCCCCTCTCCATCCGATCTCACTTCTACCACCATAGGGCCGGGCACTGTGGGGCTCAGGGCCGGGCCAGGACCAGCGCGGGTGGGAAAGCCACGGCACGAATGTCGCAGGGCTCCCGTGGAGCACAGCTGTGTGGACTGCGAACACACACCCAGTCCTTCCTCCGCTTCCCTCCAAAACCAGCTCCCAGATTTGAAGCACATGAATCAGACATCAGCCTAAACACTGAATTATTCATAAACCTTTAATCTGTAGATTTCACTGAATATGCAGAAGTATCGATAAAAAAATATAATGAGAGAATTGTACTTGCAAATTGCTCTTTATTAAAGGTTTAACTTGCGTGGGCTCTATACATTCCCTATTAGACCTTGCAAAGCTGCATAGGATTAGAAATCAGAGAGGATAATAATGTACAAAAATAGTTTCAAATGTTGATAACACTGAACAGCGAGAAAAACATCTTATTTGTACAACTGAGCTAAAAATAAAAACGAAGAACACTGCTACAATTGCAATATGCCATCTTGTAGTGCTCGAAACATATGTCGACGTCTCCGAGCCATATAGCCTTCTCGGAGCCATATGCTCCCATGTCTTGCTGCTACTGCGCGGAGGGAAGCTGAGCAAGGCGCCGGCCGGCCCGCAAAAGCACAAGCACTGCCCAAAACCACCTACGGGGCTGTGCCAGACTGGCTGCAGGTGAAACGGGGAGGTGTGCGGGGCCGGGGGAGTGGGGGCCCGGTGGGAATGTGACGGAGGGGAGGGGGTGTGCGTGCTGGAGGACATCGGGGGAGCTGCTGCTGAGGGTGCAAACGCTGCGTGCACGTTGCTGCACTGGATGCCTGCAGGAGTGAGTACTGAGCCCCCCTGAGCACATCGAC